ACTTCAGCCATTTTAAAATTAAGCACGACAAAACAACACTGTTACTTCTCATAAATAATGACCATTTTCTTAAAATTAAACAAAGACAGAGCACTTTCGTAGCTTCATAGATTATATGTAGATAATTCACAAAATACAGAATAACATAACTCAGAAACTTTTATTTCTCCTCTCTCAGTTTCCATAGAACATTAATAATTTCTCTTCTACACCTGGGTTTCCAATTTCCCATTTCCGGCCTCATTATGACAACTGTACTTCAACAATTCAGATAACCTCGCAGCTACACTCTGCCTTGCTCCAGGAGAAACGCCGTGCTTTCCGATGATCGACTCTAGAACTGCCTCCGAAAGCAGTTTGTTTTCGATCACCACGTTCCCAGCTTCTGGTACGGATGCATCTTTGGAGAAGCTAATCTGTAGCAATGAAAGAGATCAAACAAAGATGTCAAAACTCAGATGCAAAATACAAACTCAACCCTTAAAAAAAATACAAAAGTTTAATAGTACTAACCGTTAATGATCCTTTGGGAGATTGTGTGAAAAGGATCGAGGCGCCAGGTGGGAAGTTTTGATCCTTGAAGACCTCAAGGAACTTCTCAATGGCCTTGGCTTCTGCATCAGTGTAAATTCCGATTGATTTCCAAATCGCAACGCAATTCTCGGAAACCTTCTCCGAGTATTGCTGGCCGGTTAGTGGCAGTATCGTTGTCACCTGTGTGAATTTCTCAAATGGACCTATGAAAGGATAATCAAGATTATAACTTGTGCCTCAAGTTTTGTTTTTTTTTTCATACAGAGTAACACATTAACCCTAACTAATTTTATGAAATTCTGATTGGTTTTAGTCAAATTGACCAATAAAAAAGCCATGATAAATTAAATCAGCTAAAATTTTGCATTCTCTCTGGTAGTAATGAAGTGAACAAGTTTTAGCTCAAATTGGATCACAATATCAGGCATTTCAATTCAACCTATGCTAAGACATGAAATAACAACCTTTGAATTGTCTGTCAAATTAAATACTAGTCAAAGCTTTAAGCACGTGTTTTAAGAAGTCCGTTACCTGTAACAATCTCTCTGAAGAACTCAACGGACTCCGTCAGCTCCTGGGCGGTCTTGCCCTTCCACTTAACGGCGAGCAGAGGCACGGCCTTCTCCTCCAAGTACACGCCAATCGCCGTGAACTTCACGAAGTTCCCCTGAATCTCCAGCCCCCTCACCCCTGCCCACATTAGCAAACACACAGCCAATCAAAACCAAAATCAACAAACAATTAGCTAGACAAATTAAGTACGGACGACCATTTACGAACCTGCGCCGCCGAGGAACAGAGTGTTGGCTGAGCCTGGGGGTTTGACTGACGGTGGAAACGACGTCGCCTCGATCTGAAGTCCGGTGGGATTTGGTAGTGCAGCCATTGGGTAGTCTTTGTTACGCTTTTGTGTGGCGATGGAGATGGACTTGTTGTACGAAACGGTGCGTTTAAATTGGGAGCTGGACCAGTGAAGGATTTCGGGGGTACTTCCAGGGGGTTTTGTAGAGAGTTTGGTGTCATTAGGACAGGGTTGGGGGTGGTTAAGTAGGAAGGTCAGGGAGTGTAGATGTGCACGTGGGAAAGCTCAGAGGCTCAAAACGTGGAGGGAAGTTTTACCGGTCATTCAAGAGGGCAAGTCACCACCACAACTCATACCAACTAGCTTAGGCCTCTTTGGTGTCCACTCAAAATATAGTTTAGGGTTTGTTTGCGAGTAGTTATGAAATGGTTAAAAACGGTTTCTTCCAACAGAAAACGTTTATGTTTGTGTTGGTAGAAAAAAAACGTTTGTAAGTGATTATGGATATAATTACTTTTATGGAGAATCACTTCTTCATATAATTACCGTAGAAGAAGCACGTATGGAGAAACATATAGAAAATACTTCTCACTATAAGTGATTTTGGCTCTTTTAGAATCACTCTCAAATGAGTCCCAAGTGTTTATGACTCACAAAAGTGTTTTTGGTATTAAAAAAAAGCACTTTATTTTCTAATTTTTTTTTTGACGTTTTAATAGAAAGAAGCATTTAGAAGTGAAAGATGTGATGTTTACGATAATATAAGTGAATTACCAACTGATAGAGTAGTTGGTGACTGAAATAGGTCTACTTTTTAAAATTATTTTATGGCTTTTTATCACAAATGGTCCCTGAGGTTTGCGAAATTATCGTCTTTCGTCCTTAACGTTTTTTTTGTGACATTAATGGTCCTTAAGGTTATACTCAACATATCAAAATGGTCCATACTGTTAACTTCCGTTAAATTTTCTGTTAAGAAGCTGACATGGCATACACATCCAATAACATATAGCCACGTGGCTTTAATATATTTAAAAATTAAATTAAATTTTTAAGAAAAAAGAAAAAGAAAATTAAAACTTGATTTTAAATATATAAAAACCTGTCGCCAGCCCTCCCCTTCCATCTCCTCCTCTGTCATCTTCTCCCTCTGTTCTCTCTCCCCCTCTCCCTCTGTTCTATCTCTCCTTCTAGAGCAACGCTGACAGCCCTATCTTACATGCCTTGAAGAAATTAATTGTAAACTTTGTTACCATTTCTCATTACTGTGGCTACATAGTTGAGCCCAACATACAAGATTTCATAGTTAGTATCCACAGTTCATGTTGAGTACCTGCATCTGGGTTAATGAATCATATGCCTAACTCATGTGTAGCTACAGGTAAACACCAGTTCAACTTCTACCTTCACAACAACTACAAACCATTTCAAGTTCATAACAAAGAGCCATACCCATTTCAGATTTGGACCCCTATGCCTTCCCCAACCTTTGAAACCGATTATGTTCTTGCATCAAATCCCAACTCAGTTCTTGATGTGGAATGAAGGTTGGAGGTTCAGCTGTTATTTTTGACATCCCAAAAGCAAGATGTCAAATGAATATTTTATTATTTTGAAAGACAGCTGGCTGTTACTTTCATTTATAATTTTCCTTTTTTATTTTTTTTCTTCTCTATCTTGAATGATTTGACTGTTACAATAATTATTTATTTGACATATCGGGTGGAGTGTAAAACTGTGTAAATATCAAATTGCCACATCAGCCATCAAATTTAAATTTGATGTTTAGTATTTGACATCTCCCTTGGAGATGCTCTAACAAAGAGCCATACCCATTTCAGATTTGGACCCCTATGCCTTCCCCAACCTTTGAAACCGATTATGTTCTTGCATCAAATCCCAACTCAGTTCTTTGCTTGGCTGACCATCAGCCCCGAATCTGATGAGAGAGAGAAAGAGAGGGGGTGGAGGGAGGTGGATTGGCACAGTGGGGCGATAGGTTAGAAGGAAGAGGGTGAGAGAGAGTTTTAAATTTTTTTATAAAAAAAGTTTTAATCTTATCTTTTTTAAAATTTAATTTTCTTTTTAAATATGTTTATATTTTATTTAAAGCCACATGGCTATATATTATTGGATGTGTGACCTACATATATGCCATGTCAACTTCTTAATAGAAAATTTAACTGAAGTTGACGGCAGGGACCATTTTGCTGTGTTGAGTATAACCTTAAGGATCATTAATGTCACAAAAATACGTTAAGGACGAAAGGCGATAATTTCGCAAACCTCAGGGACCATTTATGATAAAAAGCCTAAAATTAATATTGGATGCAAAAAGCAAATAATAGGGTGTCAATAAAATCACCAAATAAAAAAAGGAGGTATTGGCTGTAGATGGAGTACTTATAAGGGTGGAAATACAAATATCTAATTATTAAATTAACAGGCACTATATTCCTATACTCTAAATATTTTGCAACAAAAAAAAATTTAAAATTAGGGATTTTGGCTTAGGCTCACGTGAGACAGAGAGAAAGGGTATAGCCCGTTTCACTGAAGTTCTTCTCCGTAACCACCATAGAGCGTTCTTCTGTTTAGTTCAGGGTTCAAATAAGGTTTCTCTAGGGTTTTGGTCTCTGTGTTCCAAGGCCAGCTTTCCATCTTTGGTTTTGCTCGTGCTGTAATCTCACCATTGAAGGAGGGCTTTGGAATTCTATTGGGCAGTTAAGGAATAGAATACCAACTCGACATCGTTAAGGTTTGGTCACTTTGATTTTTTGATTATTTATCTTTTTTATTGTTCAATTTTAACTAGCAAGTTGCTGCTCAAAGTTAGGGTTTTGAATCAATTTGTAGACTTGACTTGTAAAGATTGATATTTTGGAAATTACCCAAGAATAAATGTTACTGTTCTTCAACATTTTTAATTATAGAATTTCGTTCATTCCTTTCCCCCCATCCAAACGCACTGTAATTATAGAATTTTCGTGCAGTCTATCTGGAGATGGTTATATATTTTTGTTGTACCTGCAATTCCATAGCTTAATAGATACCGAACGTTTGCACACTGACAAACTAAAACTGAGTCTTTTTGCTACCTTGGCAGTTGATTTGTGGTTGTTGCTTCATATTATTCAGCATGTCGTCCCTAAGGAATGCTATTAGCAGGCGGGCTCACAAGGAACGAGCTCAACCGTGAGCAACCACATTCCCTTTGCTGTTAGACTTTCAGATAATGTTGTTTTGCATCAGATCATGGGAATTAAGTATTTTGTTGTTTAATTTTTTGTTAGGGAATCGAGGAAAAAATTTGGCCTTCTTGAAAAGCACAAAGACTATGTTGAGCGTGCAAAAGCATATCACAAGAAGGAGGAGACTTTACGGGTAAAATTGTGGTGACTTTGTTGCTTGTCTCCTTGGATTTCATCATTTGTCTGTAATCGTGTAATATAACTTCCAACTATGTCTCATCTGCCTTTTCACTCAACAGAGACTGAAGGAGAAAGCAGCCTTTAGAAACCCAGATGAGTTCTACTTCAAGATGATCAAGACTCGAACTGTTGATGGAGTCCATAAATTAGAGTAACATAGAACTCTTGTATAATGCTTCACTATCATTTTTCTTTGGCACTTGCTTCTCAAATGACATAGATTGTTGCTACAGGAGTCAGGCAAACAAGTACACTCCAGAAGAGCTCTTACTTATGAAGACCCAAGATATTGGATACATACTTCAGAAAGTTCAGAGTGAGAAAAAGGTTATTAATACTGTTACCAAGAAGCTATGGTTTATCAAGTGGTTTTTTTAAGTTTACCCTGTTGGTTATAATTGTGCTGTTATCCAATGCAGAAAATTGAAAAGTTGACTGCGACACTCCACTCTCTTGATAATCGGCCTTCAAGTAGACACGTTTACTTTGCTGAAGACAGGTTTGAGCTTCATCCGCTTTTTCTGTCTTTAGAAAATCAAAATTATATCTGAATAAGTGGATTGCTTTTTAATGTATTTTTTTTCTTATTGTTGTTGTTAGTTGTAACCAGACTTAGATATGTTGGAGAGACCATTTTCTGTTTCTTGTTATTTTTAGGGAGACTTTCAATTACACCCCTTGAGGTTTGGCCTAATTACAGTCAGACACTACATGTTTCATTTACACCCGTTTTGCCAACTAAATTGTTTTTGAACCTTTTTTTCAAATATATCTTATCTTGTTATTTCCTTTTGTTTGTAGGGAGGAGGCTAAAGAAATTCATTCACGTTCAAAAAGTGGAACTATGCCTGCTTCTGAGGACATTCCTGATCATATAAAAAGGTACAAACAAAGTTTTCAGTGTTAGGGGACAGATTGATGAGTTATGTTTATTATTGAAGGTGGTCTGTTGATTTTTATCAGTTTAAGAATCTATTATGAATGTATGTGCATTACAGTATCGTATAAACAAATGCCTTTTGATTTGGTTGATAGAATTTTGGTATATTTTTCAATCAAGGGGTAACTGTGCACTGATTGGTTTGTACGTTTTTTTGAAACGCCATAACATTACTTTGTGAGACAAATCCATTAATCCCTCAGAATTTGAATAGGACTTAGAAACTTTGTCATAATGGAAAGGTTTAAAGCAAAACTATTCTCTTAATATCCAGTTCAATGGATGCAATTTGGCTTTTTATAGTTGTTATTGTT